TTCAAGGGCAGGAAAAAAAATCTAGATAGTAGGAGTGCTACCTAGACGTCATATCTGTATTTATGGAAGTAGCTGAAATGGTCTTTTCGGTGAAACAAACATAATTTTTTGCTTGAATTAGGAGAAACTTACTCTACTTCAGTTACCTCTTTGCTACTTTCGTGCAAACAAACAGACCAACGTAAGGCTTGCTACATGGGTATAACATATGAAACAAATAATTGAAAATAAATCTTGTTGATATTTAAGATAATTTGGTTTTTTCATGTTTNCCCCCCCCCCCCCCACACACACACACTTTTTTTTTTTTTTTTCAAACGAAAAACAAAAAATCATAATGGCTTTATCTTAAAGTCCAAACTGAAACTCGCCAAAATCCCTCAACGCGTGAACACCTAGTTATTGCTCAACAACGGTGGCATATTTTCTAATTAACTGCCAATAAAGATTTACCATATCAACCCTATACTTTTACCTATTTGGCAAGCAAGCACGTGTTAGGCCCGACTACGGCTCTATAAAAATCGCAACCTCGTCTCCTCGTCCCCTTTGCTCTAAAAAAAATTCTCTTGTTTCCGCTTTCACCCTCTTTTTCTTCAAATTCTGCAAGATGTGCTGTTGTCCAAGCAAAGCTTGCTGCCTTTGCTTTCTTCTGATCCTCGTGATCGCGCTCATCGGGTTCGTGTTCGGGTTCGGAGTCTTCGCGCATGGGTTTCACAAGTTGAAGGAGAATTTACATTATCAACCCTCGGAAAACGAGAGTTTTCAGGGGAGGCCCTTCTTTGGCGATGGGGCTCCCGCCCCTTTCTAATGGGTTTCTTCTTGTTATCTTCAGCTCTCTTATTTGTAAATTTTTAGGGTTTTTTTTTGGGGAATTATTTATTGTTGGGTTCTTTGATCTGACGATAGATGGATTTGTGTTGGGTTCTGGATGAATACATAGATGTATGAATTTTTAGGGGTTACTGTTAGTTTATTGATTGATTCTTTAGTATAATTGAATTCCCCCCCCCCCCCCCCCCTCATTTTTAATTTCTTGTGTTTAAATCCGAAATAATCTCTTTGTGTTTTATATAAAACTATGGAAATCTCAAGAAAGGGGGAAAAACGGTAAAGAGAGTAGGAAAGATCTGTTTTGGTTTGTGAAAGATCAGAATTCAAATACACTTAAAATTACTGTCTTCTACAGCTATAGCTTTGTAAAGGAATTCTACTATGCATAAAAGATTTATGATGAGTGTGTCTGCGTGACAAATTTTTTATTTACAATTGTAATTAATATTACTTATCTATTCCTCTGTAATAATTGAAGGATTCAAGATTCATTATTTATGCTACAGTAAATGAATCCAAACTGTATCTTTCATGTTGCGGCAAATTGCTGTAGCGTTGATTACTATATCACAGACTAGAATTGTAATGTTCGAAAATATTACTGTATCATTATTAATGCAGTCGGGATACTGTAGCATAAAAAAATGCCAGTGCTACAGCATGCAGTATTTGTTGCAAATAACTGACCTGGTTATAGCATATCAAATATCGTATATGCATTGTATGTTACAACCAAGTAGGTTATGCTCTGGCGCTATGATTGGATATATATGTTTCCTGTTACTTGCATTGTTTACAGACAAATTGACTAGCTGCAATTAATTGATGGCTGAGAAAATTGTAGCAGCATGTGCAACGGCTAGTTACAGATATTATGTTGCTTTGTTTTGTCCTCAGGGGGTTAGTCATCTAGAACTTAAAACTAGAACTGAGATAATTTGTAGGATAAATTTTTAAGGTGTTAGTCACATAGAACTAGAAAATAGGATATTTTTTTATAGTGTTAGTTAAGTATAACTTTTGTAGAACTAGAACTGTATTATTTTTTTGGTGCGTTAGTCAAGTAGAATTCTACTAGAATTAGAATTGGGATAATTGGTCATAATTATCCCACAAATTATACTACCTATATATATAACCATAAGTTCTCCTCTCTCAAATTATCCCACACATTGGAAAGAATACAATTGGGAAAAAAAAGTGAAACCCCGCCTCCCTCCCTCTTGGTTAGTTTCTCCGCCTAGAAAATTTCTCTGCCATGAAGTCAATCATCCGTTCATTTTTCTGTCTTTAATTTGTTTTTGTGATGATTAGATCTTTTATTATTATCTTCAAGATGTATTACTTTATTGATAGCTTTTTGACGTTAAATTACTTTATTATTATTTGTTTGATCTAAGTTTTCTCTCCACAACAGTGGTTTAGGTTAAGAATATAGTGTTGGTGGGTTAGTGCTAAAGATATGCGGGCTATTTATGTTTTTTATAAGTTAGAAAGCAACTTTGCGATCACATTGATGATTAGATGTTGAATGGTTAATGGTGATATCTATTATTATTAAATCGGCTCAGTAAATTGATTGGGATATTTATAGTTCATCTGTCGATCATCTGTTTAGCGGCCATGAATGATTCCTGTGTACATTTCATTTATTTACTGATTTGGTTTCAGCGATCATGATGAGATTGATCCAAAAGGTTAATGGCTGTAAAATGCTTATTTTTCTTTCTTTATGATGTTATGAGATTTGAACTTCGACATTTATGATCCTCCACTAGAAGCTCAACGAAATGTTGCTGATGCAGACGATGACTCCGATAAAGAAGATGAGTTACAGACTCAACGAGCAGCTGTAGGAGCTTGGAGAAATTCTATGGTAGATGCCTTGTGGGATGATAGAAGCCATGTTGGATGATGGAAGTCGAGTCACTCTAGGGATTTAGATTTTTATTTATTTGTAAAATATTTTATTTTTTGAGATGAATAGTGATGCTTTATTGCATTATATTTTATAGTTATTACTAGAATTTGCTTATAATATTATATTATTTTTAATAAACAATTATTAGCAATAGTAATTTATACCCACCATTACCCCCACCAAATTATCCTACCAAATTATGTAACTTCATAATATTATCCATCATTATCCCACCAAATTATCCTACCAAATTATCCCACTTTAAGAATTACCCATCATTGTTCCACTAAATTATCCCAGTGTAAAAATATTATCCCACTTTATCAATTATCCCAATTCTACTTAAAAAGTTCTAGATGACTAACCCCCCCTCAGTGACGACATAAAGATAATTAAAATAGAAGAATTTTTTAAAACCGACCCAAACCATGTTTTGATTTTCAAAACCGACCCATTTTTTATTTATTTATCAAAATCGACCCATTTTTTGTCACGTCAGCTTAATTCCATTTTTAAACAGTCGGGGTTGGCAACCCCGACTGTTTAGGAGATTGTTAAACCCCAATTAGAAGCCTTAAACCCGATTTTTGCTGTCCTAAATAGTCGAGGTTGGCGACCCCGACTAATTAGGAAATGAGATTAAGCCGACGTGGCAAAAAGTGAGTCGATTTTGATAAAAAAAATGGGTCGGTTTTGAAAATAAAAACATGATTTGGGTCGGTTTTGAAAATTTCTTCAATTAAAATATATACAGTATTTGGTGGCTGGTGAATTAGCGATGCGTGTAGGTCACCCAGAGCAGGTTATAAGTCAATTCCTAGTTTAACTAATCCAGAAAAATTCCTAGTTTAACTAATCCAAAGAAATGCCCAGCATATCATACCACTACTCCTTTTAATCTATATGCCAAAGTTATTCAGCCTTTTTAGAGCATCTATATCTCTATCGCTGCATGCCTTTTGGGTATCTTATCTCGGGAGAGAGCAAATGGTGTTTTCATCATTTTACAGCATATTCCGAACCGAACTACAAGACGCAGTTATTCCTTAGAACTAAACTAGTGTGCATCCCGTGCAAAGCACGACCTTCATTTTTTAATTTTCGCTATAGTAATTCTGCATTTAAATACAGTTTTTGTAAGTGCTACAGTATTATTTTTTAAATGTTACAGTATCCCGTCTGAGCTACGGTAATAATGTTTTTAAACGCTACAGTCTCCGTTTGTGCTACAGTAATTTATTATTGCACGAATAGTGAATCTCGGATTCTCCTGTTTGTGCCACAACAATAGTGCTATAGCAATTACCGTAACATTGCTGTAGCATGAATAGTGAGTTTTGGATCCTCCCATTATTATAGAGGAATAGATTGAGTTCAAAACAAGTTACTCCGGAGAGAGAGTATCCAGTTGATTTGATCTCTTAGGCACGTAATGTTTCGAAAATAAGCAATTTGAATTAGCACAAAACATAGCTATTCAAGGTAAGCGTGCTGATCCGTTAATCCTTTCCTCTTTGGAGCACTAAGTACGCAATACGCCAATACATCGAGATTTTCTCATGCTTGTAACCCAACATTGGCAACGCAAAAGGGAATGCCATCTTGATCGAGTGTTGAAAAAAAAAAAAAAAAAAAAAAAAAAAAAAAATTGCATTGCACGGATGTTCGATGAAAGTAGAGGACAAAGTGATGAAGGTCGAGACTTCTACGGCAAGATGTTTTGCTAAAATACTGAATCGTGTAATAAAGAACCTGTTCAGTTTTTATTGGAGTCTTATCTTAGGAGAGGATGGTGATGGATCAAAAAAAGGTTGAAAACTTTCTTAGTGCGTATCATTTTAATAAGCTTCGGTCAATTGTAGTGGTGACTAGAAATTATTTTACAGATGTAACTTTCAAACTTTCGTTCGCTAATCATGAAAGGTTACAAAGTGATGTGAATTATTAAAGAGGCGAACTTTTCAGCTTTCATCAGTACTTCAAAGCTACCAGCTGATAGATTGTAGCTATCAGCTGATAGATTTTTGTGAGGTGTTCTTTTACTTGATAATCAAAACAAAGATGCATCAGCATTTATCTCCCCTTTAACTCATTTAGTAACGCTGATCACCCTTGCATGAGGAAAAGAGGATTTAAGTGCAATTTACTTTCGTTTTGCAACACAAGACAAATAATAAAAACACCATTACACTAGTAGAGTCCTTGTTCAGTTTCTTCTCTCCTAAGGCATAGCAAACACCAAATATGGAGAAGTAAATTGAAATTCCGCAATTACAATTAACTCAAACAGAAGTCTGTCCAGCGGCAAAGATTTACAAACGGATGAACATATTTATTTACCATATCCAAGAAGCAAATACATTTCACAAGTAAGGATCCCATAGTAAAAAAGTTGATCACAATAAGAAGAATTTTCGCAGACAGGAAATTGTATGAATAGCAGCAATCATCAAGGATTCAGCAACAAGAAGAGCTCAGCTACTGCAACAGCCGCCAGCTGAAGATGACGAAACGTCTCTCCCTCCCGCTGGGCCTTGAACTCCGCCATACCCGACTTTGATCCCATAAGACTGAAAAAACCCATGAAATTCAAAGTAGGAGGTATACCAGTAGGAAAAATTACAAGAAATAATCTATAACGAGGCCACTACTTTTGATAATGGAGTTTGGTTCTTCAGACATCTGGGCAGACATACGCATGAAGAAGTATAGGTTATTGTTTTTGCTTCATCCAAGAACCATCTCTTTTTCTCTATTTTCTTTCTTCAACTCCCAAAATTGTAGATTTTGAAGTGCAGGTATTAGTCCAGACTTCCACCAAGTGCAAGCATCTGCTCCGATGTCACAGATGATGGGATTTTTTTGTAGAACTTTTTAGATGAGGCGGTTTCTTGTAAACAAGGAATAGATGAAGGGAGTTTCTTGTCATTTACCCAGGTTTTTTTTAATGATATAAGCTTAGAAACCAACTGTCAAGAATAGCTTTGATTTTTAAGTGTAACCATATGAATATAAATGGCATGAAAATCAAGAAGTCTATTGAAAAATAGCTATCTATTCCAAACATATGATTATGAATTAGATAGACAAACAACTTATGGACAGAGTAAGTCATGATGGATGAAGGAAAACTAGCTAAAGATTAAAGGATAAAATGTCTCATTCTTTGTCGTATAATTATACTTGAATGTTCCCACTAGGACATGACTCCTCATGCAAATTCATGCCTTTTCTGTTGCTCAAAGCTATTGATTGAACAATCAATTGACGATAAAATGTAATTATGATTACTACGTGTAAGTAAGAGCATTTCAAAACCAGAAAGCCTTTTTGGAAGGCTGATAAAAATTACAAAAGAAACACAATTTTTTCCATCCTTAAATTTATGGTGGATCTGATAGATCTCTCATCTTTGAATGATTTGATTGCTACTATATGATTAACCTATATTTTTTGATAATATATAAGTATTAAATTGACTTGCATGAGATTTTGAAATTCTATGTATCTGCATATCCATATTGTACGTTATTAGATACTTCTACCCATGTCTATGCTGCCTCTGTCGAAATATCTAGTTCATTAGTTCAACAAGTTTAAGTTTAATGGTGCTAATAAAACTATTCTTACCTCATTTGATACATCAAAAACTCCATCCTGAATCTTCTTATATATTTTTGCTGCTGTGCTAATGAAAGCCTGTAAAAATCAATTAAAAAAAAATCAGAATTTGACAGAATAGCCCATTTAAATCTGACAAAAAAGGGCAGAACTTGTCACCTCCTCAACATTTTGAGCAGTTTTAGCAGATGCTTCCATAAATATCAACCCGTGCTCTCTTGCAAACTGCTCCCCTTCCTCAATGGCTCTTCTATGTGCCAGGTCAGACTTGTTACCGATCAGCATAATCGTCATGTTAGCATTAGCATGTTGCCTTGCATCTTCCAACCATCCTGCTAAATGATTAAAGGTCTCCCTCCTGAAAAAACACATGAGAAAATAATTTAAGTATGTCATAGAATTTTGCATTGCAGTGGTTTTGAATAGTAAATACCTGGTTATATCATAGACTAGTAGTGCACCTGCAGCTCCTCTGTAATAGGATCTTGTAATAGATCTGAAGGATTCTTGACCGGCCTATAAAGACATAAACACTTCAAATCAGATGGTATTTTGGTGACTAATGAGAGATATACAAGAAGATGTACATACATCTGTTGAAATAATCACGAAAGCTTATGATGATATATCGACAAAGAGCAAAACAAAATAATGGTGCTAATAAATATATGACAAACGTTACTAGGAAAAGCTATTTCTCTCCTGTGAAAAAAGGACATATCTGCAAATGAAAGATAAGCACAAAAAAACATTAGTCCTACGCTGTCTAGTAAAAGGATCGCAAAATTTACATTTTGAATATTGCAAGAGGCTTGGGCTCATTTTCTGTGGAATTATTTCCCCAAACCCGTTTCTGTATTGGATATTTTCTAACAACCCCAAAGGCTGCCTCTTCTCCATAAACATGGTCCTTTCGCTTCCCTTCACTAACCACAAAAAGACATATGGTTGGTGGCAAAGATCAGAAGGCACATGAAGGTCTGCAGCCAAATACTACTGTTGGTTCCTTCATTTTTCAAGATAAACCCAGCTATTGATAATTCTAACTCTTAGCCACAGTATGATGCATATAAATTTGTTCGACTCACTTCTTCTGAATAGTCATATATGAATTATACGAGCGTTTTACAATGCAAAACTACATGTAATAATTCTACGTTTCTACTATTTGTTTACATATCACATTGTGTTTAATATTTGAAGTATTTGTCGTTTTATGGTAATTAATTAGTTTTAACTAGAATAAAATATAATTTCACTGTAGGTGAGTTTCAAATTAGGACATTGGTTCTTTTACTACAGCATGATTCCCAAATCCTCGCTAGCTTGGCTAGTGTTTGTTATCTAACAACTGAAAAAAAAAACTGACCCGGGTCGGTTTCAGACCTTATTCTGATTTTAAATGTGTTCGAAATGAATAATTCCAACAAACACTAACCACTTTTCATTTCGAAAACATAGCGATCATTTATTACAAAACCGAGCCCAACCTTAAATCATCAGCCACTCTTCCCCTTAGAAGATCTTAGGTTTTCCCTATATTTGAGAAGCAAATCTCTCATCCTAGAAAATAGAGAGCCAAATAAGGAGTAAGTGCTCCAACAACGCTCCCCAAATGACTCCCTATCTCATGTCTTAGACTAAATATAGGGAGTAGGAGGGGGGAAAGTTGCTCCAACAATGCTCCCTATGTTGAGACTAAATATAGGGAGTCACTTTATTATCCTTAATTTGGAATACCAAATCTTATTCCTTATATTTAGTCTCCAACATATGGATCTTGGTGGAGCAATTTTTCCACTTCCTACTCCCTATATTTAGTCTAGGACATGAGATAGTGAAGCTGTTGGAGATGCTCTTAGCCCCTCTATTGATTCTCACACTCTCCACAGAGCAAAACTTTTAACTTGATACAACGAAGAAAAAGGCTCGACTCGCTAGGAGGAAGACAAACATCTTCATCAGAAGTGACGAATATCTCAAGCAAGAGAAAGCAACACCCGAATCTCCTTGAAGAATAGGCTGAGTAATCCTTCTTTCTAACAACTAACAAGAATAAAAGGGCATTTATATTCTAAAAATCACATATTGCAAATAAGGTGATACGTAAACCTCTAGAACTAACAAATGGAATTGTCTGAGTGAAAATTCATTTGATTTCATTCTGGTTGAAAAATCCATCAGCATGCAACTCCTCTAACATGTAAAAATTCTATATTATGATAACGGATAACCTATTAACAATTCAAGAGCATATCAACTGAAAATAGTCATAAACTTTAGACAAGGAACAAGAAAATGAAAAACTAACCGTATCCCAAATCTGCAACTTGATGGCCTTGTTGTCAATTGTAATCATTCTGGCCCCAAATTCAACACCAATAGTTAAATCATGCACAGGCTGGAACCTTTTGTCTGTGAACTGCAGAAGCAGGCAAGATTTCCCAACTCCTGAATTTAAAAAAAAGTAACCAATTTGTTAACATGTATAATACATAATTTTACTCAAAAAATTTCAAATAAATAAAGTAATACATCAATATATACTACAAAATTTTCTGTCAGAGCACCAGTAAGCTAGTTCTATCAAATTTCTACAGGATTTGCGCAATACAAACAAAACCCATAAAAACCCATCAATTAAAAAAAATCATGCCCAAATACCTGAAAATCACGGAAACCAAGATGTAAACAGATCAAACATCAAAAAGAAAATAGGAGGGAAATTACCAGTGTCTCCGATGATGATGTATTTGAAGAGGTAAGCGTACGACATCCTTATTCAATTCCAATTCAATTCAACAAGCTTGAAGGGGCTACAAGCACGAACCCAAATAAATAGAGATCGGATCGCGTGGGAAAAGAGAAGAAATGAGATGGGGGTATTCTTATTTTGCATATATACCCCTCTGATCACGGGCGTTTGTAAAAGTACCCTCCACATCTCCGTATTTGTAAAACTACCCCTTAAGTCAACAATTTTTTTGATAAAAATACCCTCAAATCAATTAATCATCAATTTTGATACGCTAATTTAGAAAAAATTATCGAGAAAATAGTCAAACCTTTATTGACAAGTTATGGTCTGTTGATTTTAGTGGTATGTTCCTCAAAATTGATTATTTGAATGGTCGTTTTGCAGATATCAAGATTTATAGCGTAATCTTATAAATACGCATGATGACGGTTATATATGCAAATAATTGTCTTAATTAATTGCTTAATGATGACAACAATAATAGCTGGATTGTGCTTCGCTGTCCCTTTAGACCGACCACTGTCGCAATAACGAAGGAAGGGAAACCCACTGGTAGAAGGCAATACTTTTTTAGCGATCCCGGATTAAACGAGTTGGGTCTTTGACGGAGGCCCATGGCCCATGAGCGTTTACACCTTTTAATACAGCCCATAACCCATGAGCCTTGGATAAAAGCGGGTCATGAGGTCACAGCTGTTCTTTAAGATTATCCTACGTAAGATTAGCATACTTTGTCGCTAGCCAGATGAAAGCAAGGAATTCGTTTGATTACGAAGTAGTTAAAATTGAAAATGCATATATAATAAAATATAATTCAAAGAACACATGCTGTAGTTGCGTTCTGGTGAAATGAACTTAAATTTCGTTCGTCTCAGAATTTGGTAGACACTTGATTACTTGGTTGGGCTTCGTGCCGGGCTGCATGGTGTTTTTACTAAAAGCTCATAAGGCCCATTATTAACGGGCTCAGTAGGGTTTAGGGAGGTTTTGCGAAAATACGCAAAAATGAAATAGAATCAGAGATCGAAGAAGGGGAGGGAGAAGAGAGTGATGCGGAGGTCAGCCGTGTCTCTTCTCCGATCTCGTAGAGATTTCTCAACTTCGAGCTCATATAACATCGTGGCCTCCGTTCTCTTCGAGCGCTTGCCCGTTGTCATCCCCAAAATCGATCCCGTGGTCTACGCGTTCCAAGAATTCTCGTAAATTTCCGGTTCTATTTTAAAAAAATGGTCTTTTTTTTGGTGAAAAGTTTTGATTTTTGATCTTGTTTTGTGTAGGCTTCGATGGCAGCAGCAGTATCGGAGGAAGTATGCTGATGATGTTTTGGGGAAGGGTGATGCCAGGTAAAATTTTGAAATGTCCATTTCTGGCAGTTAAGAGTTTTGATTTTTATGACATAATGCGTTATTTTCACCTCAAGCTTTATTGGTATCGAAAAATTTTAGGGGGGAAGGTTAAATTTATTAACTTATTGCTGGTTCTTGATTGATGACTGATGAGTGTTATGTCGGGGGTCCATTTAGCTGCACATCAGCTATGTTGGGAGTCAGTTGTGGGATTATAAGGTATTTGGGTTCCATTGCTCTGACAACTAGATTTTAGGGGTGAATTCTCCCAGTTTCAAGCGAGTGGCATTGTTAGTGACACTAGCATTGTAGTGACTAGTCTGATGCCAAGGCAAAGGGGTGACTTGTAGTGTTCGATCGGGACTGAACTAGTGTAAATCGAACCCATGTGGGTGCGGAGACTGTCTGAGCTTGGTGGTATATTAGGGCCCATTTAGTCTCACGTCGACTAAATATGGAGTCAATTGTGGGTTATGACAATAGATTTGGTTCTCCTAGCCCTCTTACATGTACATACGTATTACCTATGAAAAGTTTATTTTTTACGTATAATAGTAGATGTACTTGCCTACACCAATTTGATTCCCTTTTCAATAACTACTAATATATTGTTCAAAATATTTGGAATTGTTGTTTATATATAGGGGGAAAGGTGATTATCAGATTGATTATGAACCAGCTCCAAGGATCACCGAAGCTGACGAGAAAAATGATCGGAGGTACACTAATGAAACTGCGCTTTATTGCTTATTCTTGTTACCTATCTATTAAAGTTTTACCAGTGATGCAATGTAAAGACACATGCATCCTTGGTACTTTATTGTACTACCAGATAGTAAATTACTATTTTGATCCAGTCGTGTTAAACTTCGGTTGTCATTTGTAATGGAAGCTCTATGCTTTTTGTTGTTTATTGTATACATTGCAGTTAACGATATGAGTTCCATATTTTTGTCAGTAACTGTCAGTAACTAGTTTTGTACTATTGACAATCCTTTTCCCCTGTATTTTGATCACTGGGTTCCTAGTAATTCACTTGTATAACTAAACAGATGGTGGACAAGCTCCCTTCTCCCTATGTTTGATGCTTTTGGTTTTTCATCTTCTTGTAGCCGCCCCTCCTGTTTCCTACTTGAACTTGGCTTCCTTGTGCATGCTTTATGTGATTGTATTGCAAATTTTATGTTGTTGATGCCATTTTTTGTCTCTTTAATGGACTTATATCAATACTAGGGTCATACATGAAATCTTGAGTTTCTACAGTTAGGCGCGCCCGCACACACGAAGTATTTTTCGTCATCAGTCCTTCAGATCTCCTATTGTGATATGTACTGATCTCTTTTAAATCTTACAGGTAGTAGGTTATCAGAGGACACAAAAAATCCATTACCAACTCATTTATGTGCAATCTACATGTAATGCCCGGTAACTTCATGATAACTTAGTCAAAGAAGAGGAAAAAAGAAAACGGGAAAGACAATTCTACCTTGTCTTATTATTAGATGAGTCGAGCAATCCATTTCATGCAAAAAGATTGGCTACTATTAGTTTGTGTACACAGTAGCTTAAGTACTTATTTGTATCTGTGCGGATTACATCGCCAAAGGTTGGTTGTCATTGAACACATGGATATCTCATTCTGTAGATATCTCCTGAAAATCTAATCAAACAAATGTTAAATACCTATAATAATCTCCTTAATGGATTTAGATATTGACAGTTGCCAATTGCAATACCCAATAACCCTTGTCTTGCAGAGCCATATTCCCAATGGATGCATGCTATAATATAACCCCATAAGCGAAGTCTAAATATGGTTTGTTTACATTTCCTCAGTCATAAAATTTATTTTGAATATTATTTCTATAAGCAACTGCAACTTTGAGAACCAGAGTTCTAATTTCAGCAACAACATATTAATCTTCAAGATTTTGCTTTTCTTGGAGACTGATACTCAATAGCCTGTTCCTAGTCCTTTTTTTTTGCTAGCCTTTTGTTTTCTTATTTTCTTCTTGCCTTCTTTGATAAGGTCATTGCAGAGGGCACCTGACAGAAGACTCTATCTTCTCCTTTATGGTGCACCATATGGAGCTTCTGACAAGAAGCCTGTTTGGCATTTTCCACAAAAGGTTTATGAAAATGAAGAAAATATGCGGCTGGTAATAACTTCATACTCCTACATGTACAACTTCTAATATCATTTGATTACCTGTTTATTCCATTATTCTATTTTTCACTTAGTGCTGTTCACACGGCCTTATTGAAAAATTATATTTGAATCTACCTTTCAAATCAAAATTCAGTGTGCGGAATCAGCATTGAAATCTGTACTTGGAGGGCTGCTTCATACATATTTTGTGGGAAATGCTCCCATGGCTCATGTGACAGTAGGGCCAACAGAAGACTCACCGGATACTCCATCCTTCAAGGTACTACTGCCAAAACCTAAATTTATGGACTTTAATCATGTTTCATGTTTAGATACATATATTGATGCCTGAATTCTTCAATTCTAGAATTTTGTTGTCATTAAGAATTGAAGGTAGATCCTATCTGTTTGTAATTATTCTTGTTTATGGAACTCTAAAATCATGTTAATTTGGGGTCTACTGGGATTTAAATTTACAGAGTAGATGTTGCCTGCTATTTCTTTTGCATGTGGTTGCATTCTGTTAAAATAACTGCAGGCCCCTACTACTTTGTCACTGAATTAGTTAATTCTATCTTGGAAATTGCTGAGAAATCCACATTAAAAATTGCTAGTCTGCATTCAGAAATATCTTTTGAAAAATATGAGTACCTTTTTTTTAATAACAATATGAGTAACTTTAAATATAAACTATCTTGAAAAAAACTTCACTGCTTCAAATATAGGTATCTTATAAAATTTTGACTAGCGAAAGATAATTTAAGATATCAAGGGATTGTAAATTTAGAATTCATATTATTAAAGGTACAAATTGTTCTCTTTATGAGAGGAGAGTCTTCTTCTCTTCTCACTTCTCTACCAATTGATGTGGTCATCCTAGGACACAAAAGGTGGGGATGACATCATTTTGCGGGATGATGTCATTGAAAATATCATAGAGGGGGGTGAATAGGGTAAAACTAATCTAATCCGATTACGATGCCAAATTAAAATTTACAAGGCAATATCCTAGCAATATGATATACAAAAAGATATGCAAGGATAAACAATGAGACAATAGGCAATATAAACACAAGCATAAGATGTAAATTAAAAAGTACGCCTAACAACAATCGCAAACACAAGATATGATCACGGAGTTCGGTCAACCCTCGACCTACGTCTTCGCTCCTCACCTCGAGGAGATCTCCACTATCAACAAGAACTACACAGAACGGTTTTCAAAGTTTACCGATAACTTTTATAATGCACACGATGTCAATCACACAAACTACACTTCTTTAAGTGTTGGACTACCCGTGTCAACTTTCTCAAGTGTTTGGAATTACAACCTCTCCCTAGAATTTACAACCAACCCACTCTTGAAATTAACCCCGATCTTTCCCAACCACTACTCTAAGTGTCCTTGTGTATTACAACGTGTTTAACAATAGGTGCGAATAAGGATTTTGTTCTCTAAGTAGTTGTGTGTGTAAACAATGAGTAAAACGAAATCAAACTCAAATAAATCTAGCTTATATATGAAAATCAAAATATAGATTAGTTAGAGGAAGAGTTTAGAAAACTTTTCCAAAACAAGGAGAGATTGAGATTTGAAGATGAATGCCTCAAGAACAAAATCAAGATTCTTTTGTAAAACTCTTTTTCCACATAAACAAACACACTAGATCTTTCTCAAAAACGTGGAGCAAACTGCCCAAAAATTTCTCTTCATTCAAATAAGTCTTGAGGACTATTTATAGCCTCTCAAACAGACTTAGTTACCGTTAGGTCGACCGATCGACTGAAAAACATGACCAGTCGACTGAAAAACAAAATTGGTCGACGTAGTTACCGTTAGGTCGACCGATCAAACAGTCGGTCGATTGGATCGGTCGCTTGGTTGATTGTAATAGCAGTTGCTGTAAAAACTACTTCTGACAAGTCGACTGAAAAACTTGATCGGTCGACTGAATAACTTGGTCGGTCGACTAAAAAGACTGTTCGGTCGACTGATTTAAGCAGTCGGTCGACTAATTGATTGAAATAGCAGTTGCTGTAAAAAACAGCTTTTGCCAAGTCGACTGGTTCGACTGTTCAGTCGGCTGACTGCTGAATTTGGCAGTCAACAAAAGCAAGAAGAAAAAATAGCCGAATAATTCTAAAAATTGTGAAACTTGGGAAAACATTTATACATATGAAAATATACATATTAGAAAAGTAATTTCTAAAATAGCACTTTCCATTTGTGAAAACTCATTATTTTGCAAAACATACGATTAAATATGATTTCATAGATTAACAAAATCGTCACAAAGACGAAATCGTTAAATACTTGATTCTGATGAAATCATTTCAAACAAGTTTTGAGATACTTTTAAAAGGATCAATAGACGTAAAATAGTACAATTAAGTCTATAATCCAAAAACACGTTATCTTCCCAAATAGATGTATAATGCAATAAATATGAAACTAATAGATATTCATATATTTTATGACTAAAACTTATCCACAAAGATTTTCAAAAATCCTTTAACAAGGCGAATAAACAATGAAAGCGATAAAACGAAATAATGTGTATGTGTATGGTTTGAGCCTTAAGTATAAACACATAAAGTAATAAACCTAAACTACAGACATTATACCTGTTTGTTGGAAAATTTGTAGTAAGAGAAACGAAGGAAAAATTGATTTGTATTCCTTTTAATCTCAGTTACAATTGGATTTCCTGATTACAAAAGAGAAGAGAACGAATTTGATTCTCTCATTTGTTTAAAAACTGGGTTCTTCAAGGTAGCGATGGAATGCCTCCTTCTAATGCTTGCGTCGAATTTGCTCTCCGTTGACGATCCGACTGTCTTTATCTCGTAGGAACAGTGAACTTACGTGGTGAGTTTAAGGAATAATTCTTGACGAGTTTTAGAACTCAGAACGAGTTAGAACTCTGTGAAGAGAGTTGTTAGAACCAAAATTCGGTTAATAATCAGGCCGATTTGCTATTGCTGAAGAATCCTTTTTAGATTTGATCTTCTGAACTTAATTCAAATCTTCTATCTCCTAAAGATCCGACCTTGTACGGTTTTGATCTCCAAAACTTCCACCGATCAGCTAACCCCTTTACTCAGTTGAGTAAGGCGGTCATTTATAGGAGGATAAGGGGTGTAACTAACCCCTAAATCAGCTCCTGAGTGGGCGTGATTTCCTCAGATCGTGGGAAAACAGTTCTGAAACCGTTCGACTCATGTTTGAATGAGTCAAACGCCCAATCTGGCGTTCAGGACCCTAACTTCGCGTCTTAGAATTGAGACGCGGAGTTGGGTGTTGTCTGAACATCAAAAACGCGAGGGCCGCTCGTGTTTTGCTTGTTACGGCTTGAAAACGTGGGGTTTGCCTGCATTTCAAGAATTGTAATGCGAAGATGAGTTTCGTGTTTTAGAAGGGGCTAGTTGATTGATAACCTCTTCTGTAGAGCGTTGCAAGGACCATTGTTCAGTAATCTTCGCTTTAGCTGTTGTGGGGGTGTGAAAGTCGTCGGATTGTAACTCTCACTGTTGATTGTGAAGACTACTGAATAGAGTTTTCATCAGTTGTCGGAAGTGTCGTTGAATTGTAACTCTTCTCGATCTATGTGAAAAGTCCTCCATTTATAGCTTTCATTTGTTGGCATGAGAGTCATCTGATTATAACTTTCATTATTGAAGCTTGATGGGGATCAACTATCCATTGTGATTTTTAGACAGCCTACAATACCAAGCTGAAAATCTTCATGAAGCTTGATCTTGGTAGAGGGATGAAGCGCGATATTGAGTCTTTGACTTGAATGGCAAATGTTTCATTCCAATTTCTGCCAACCTCCAGTAGGATGTCATCGTTAAAGTGCAATTTCAACCATCTTCCAAATAGGGTGCTTGACTAGGATACCTAGCGAGCAAACGCAAATACTAGAAGACGATGTTAGGAATTGTTTGTTAATCATCAAAATCAGATTAGACAATAGACTCATAAACAGACCTAACAGTCATTTCCCCCTATTTACTTCCTAGTCATTGGAGTAGTCATTGGAGTAGCAGTCCATGGTTTGTGATATAAAATCCATTTTTTTAAGAAGCTCAATTGCACCATTTTTCAGTATATAATGGTCCATGAAACTGTATCTTTTTCTGGCATCCTGAAACTCACTTTTCGTAGTATTTAATATATTTCTAATTTCCATACTAATAGATTGAAAGCAGGTATACAGTTTTACTTAAGATGCATAAGATTTGGTTTAACTGCTAAGACTAGTAAAATATTGAAAGGTTTTTTTTCCTCGCCCTATAATTTCTCATAAAGAGAAAGTATTCCAGACTACTCAAATTGAATTTGAAGAATGTTGAATCTTTATTCTAGACTTTTCAAATTATCTCATACTTTGGATTTGAAGTGTATGACAATTTTTGGACCAATATTTCTTCCACATTCTGCTTAACAATTGGTTAGAATGCTCAAGATGTAGGGTGAGAAAAGAAAAAGAAGGAAAGGAAATGTTACCATGAGCTATTGATGTCTTCTGAATGCAAGAGTCAATACATTTTAACTCAAATCTCAACATTACGGAATTAGATTGAAATGAACTTAAACTTGAAGGTTCGTGCAGGGACCCAAAAAAATAATCATGCATGGAGTGTTGAAATTTGCATCGTATATGTTCCAATGTAGGGACCAGAGGATGTCCTTACAAACATTTTCTTCTTAGCATAATCTTTTTTGTGCATTTTGCAGCAATTCTTTTTCAAATCACAAGTAATTGGGACCAGCAAGCTTAGCATTGGAAAGTGTGAGGATTATGTCTGGGTAACAAAGGATGAACTGATGGAATATTTTCCAGAAAAAGCGTCATTCTTCAACCAGATGATCATTAGCTGAAAGACAATCACCAAGGTGATATGAAGCAAATAGTTAACCAACACAGGCATATTCGCCGTCATCTGAATGTTCTTGACGATTAAGTCTAAATCTGGATTCAAGGTAGAATCAGATATTCTTAACTGTGCAAGAAAAATGTAAGCATTATATCTCATGAGGGGCCATTTTTCATCTGTAAACAGGATAGGCTTGTCTAAGCTGCGGTCAATTTTTCCTTTCTGATTTATCTGTAGCAACGAGTAGCACTTTGTGCTATGCTTTTTATCAAAATAAGAATATTTGAGAACTATTTGAGAACTATTTGAGAACTGTTGCTTTATTAAAACTTCCAGTGATTTGCCTCAGGCGGGTTAAAGAACTAGTGTGATTACTGGATAACTGACATTGATTCTCATCATAACTTTAGAATTCTAGTGTTCTTAGAGACTTTTCGTAGCAAAAGATGTAGAAGATTTGGAAATTTAGTTTTACAGCTTCTGATGTTAATAGTCTGCGGGGCGTTCTGATAAGAATTCGTACTCAGACTTTTAAAGTGGGTATTTATTTATTTATTTTGATTGATGTGAATGGTAAGAGGAGAGTAAGTGATTGCTTAACATGAGGCTAAGGTCAATCACTGGAATCTAATCAGCTCCATCATCCATGGCCATCAGCCAAAAAAATAAAAAAAAATAAAAAAAAACTTTAAAAAATAGCCCAAATAAGAAAAGATAATTAACGTCCATAAAATTATGTGTAGCCTTTCAATTTCCGTTCATTCTTCGGCAAACTTTTCAAACGTTCTAAATCTTAACATTTTTAGACCATCCAATGTAAGATAAATCATTAAACATAACCAATGTTCGAAGATCACTGATCCAATAAAAGGTTATCATCAAATTCCCTCATCAATTTTGAAATCCCCAGACTTGGTGAGAATTTGAAAGTGAAGCATTCCTTCAGAGGGAAGGTTTCGTCGCTCCGTCGACCATCACCCTTCTTGTTTTCGTATCCTGGATAGTCCCATTTCTCAAATTCGGCTTTCTCAATGAGAACCAAATGGGCTTCCTCAGCTAATTTCTCGAGCTCCCATTTTACGTAAGGATGGTCATCCCTATGCGACACATGGATTTCACCACAGTCAGTCAGCATTTTTGATGCGCTTGCAAAAAACGCCTTCATCAACTCCTTATGCCTCCTGTATGTGAAAACACATCACGTAGTGTGGATATTGAAATCAAGCATTAGAGTGGAGGAGGAAAGAAAGAAAGAAAGAAATTTTGAAGTAAATATATATGCACCTAATAAGTTCAGGGTGCGTCTCACGGTAGCAAAGATAGTAACCAGAATGTGGGAAGTTGTAGACGATTCGATCAAATTTCATGGTCTTTAGAGTATCATGCTCATCCATGTCTTTGACATCCACTTCGTGCAATATGGTGCATCCCAATGACTTGAGCTCCTTAAGATTTGCGGCTAAGGTCCCATACTTACCGCGCAACGAAATGAACCTGAGCTCCTTAAGATTTGTAGCGAAGGTCTCATACTTACTGCGCAACAAAACTGATATATGCAATGACTTGAGCTTCTTAAGATTTGCATCTAAGGTCCCATACTTACGGCGCAACAAAACTGATAAAATACATATCGTTGACTCATGTACGTCAAATGATATCAAGCATCATTAGTACATTGGCAATACTTGAGATGTTGGTTAACAACGTGTAATGTGTCTTTATACAAATGAAAGATCGTCGATCAGCAAACACGTGAATGTATGCAAATAAAGATCAACGCATCAAATGCCCGCTAAAAGAACCAGCATTAAGCTTATCTAGCATTATTCCATAAATGTGCATACGCATTTTAGATTAATATCCATCAACAGGCATGTGCTTAACTTGACTACATGATAGAGGCTAAACACATCTTATGTACATATGAATGCATCCTTATGATCTCAAATACTGCTTTACCGATCTAATTAGGATAGACCATCATTTGGTGCATAATCCATTCAGTGGTTAGAAATCACTTGATAGCTTAGAAAGCATCATAACCAAATTAAGCAATTAATAGAGATAGATTCTACTGAGGATAATACGAAGGGTAGAGATGACCTCTTGGATTTTACCTTCAGAATCTAATGAAGTAGCTACCATGTTTTGGGCAGAACCAAAGAACTTAGCCAAACACGCAGAAAATGAAAAATCTCCTTCTCCCACAAGTAAAATCTTGTGAGAACTGGAGTAGTGTGTTATCCATCTGTCTTCTGTCTCTCCTAATTTGCGACTTTCAGTGGACTCACCCATTCAAATTTGTATAAAAATGAAATCCAATGGGTGAATTTATACATGAAATTAGCCATGGAGTTAAGTGGCAGAGCCTGTGCATTTTCAATCTGTTCCCAAGGTAGAGGAAGCATTCTCGAGAGATATCAGTAAGAAGTAATTTGAGTTTGATTATGGGGAAGGTGAGGGGTCTGAAACCAATTTATGTCATCTTCAAGGAAAAAGTGTGCATGAAAATATTCTACGTGGCAGAGCCTGTGCATTTTCAATCTGTTCCCAAGGTAGAGGAAGCATTCTCGAGAGAGTAAGAAGTAATTTGAGTTTGATTATGGGGAAGGTGAGGGGTCTGAAACCAATTTATGTCGTCTTTAAGGAAAAAGTGTGCATGAAATATTCTCATGCGTCAATTTATGTCTCTCTTATGAAAAGAGTACTTGGGTTAATTTTGAACAAAACCTCCTTAACTACGTTGATTCCACAAACCCCCTACACTCTTGTAGATTTTTCACTATACTTTTGTTCCACTATACTCTTGAAGATTTTTCACTTTGACAGTTGACCCCCAAAGTAGCAACGTCAGGTCTAAACTGTCACATGCCTTTGCGTGATTTAAAAAAAAAAATCTTTCAAGGTAAAAAAATCAACCTCTTATCCTTTTAATTATTTTCGTCGAAGGTTGATGGGTATTTTCATCTTTTTTTTATCATGCCAAGGAACATGAAATGTTAGACTTACGCGATTTTATACTTTTGGAGTTAAAATAAAATATTTTCAAGGTGTTTAATCAGGAGAATAAAATAAATTCATAGAAGTTATGCGCAACACATCTCAAATTTTAGTGTGGTTCGTGGAATTAACAAAGTTAAGACTTAAGAGGGTTATCTGCATGTAGTACATACCCAAGTGGTTTTTTTTTGAAATTTACCCAAATTACTTTGAACCCAAAAGTATGGGACCAAGTGACACTTGTCACATTGTTTCATAGTTGGTACAATGAATTTTGTGTCCAAGAAGAAGTGCCTCTCTTGGTCTAATTATCCAAGTTATTGTAGGTTGAAGGCCCTTTCATGGGTAGAGACCTAGATTATACTTGGGCTCACGTTATAAACTTTTTTAAACACCCGCAAAGAATTTCATGGCTAGTGAGATTCAAACATCGAAGTTATGATAAGCCTTGAGGGTTATTGTTTTATCTTCTAGTATACTCCTTACAGGTTGAATGCCCCCATTTTAATGGGCTGAAATATGGACTCACATAGAGATAATAATTTTTTAAATCCGCATTAAATTCGTGGATAGTAAGATTTGGACGAGGGCCTACTCTGATATCATGTGAAAGTCTCTCTAACCATTACATCAAAACTCCGAAATTTGGGTGAGAGTTCAGGTTTCATATTTTATATTCTAACATGAAATTTTAGAATGCTTGGAAAACTTAGTGAATTATAATCTATTTTCAATTGTAGAGTATTTGGCAAATGAATGGATCTTTGTGGTTGAAATGACCAAAAAAGACATGAGTTAGTGGTGAGTTATTAAATGAGAAGGTTAATTTGTAAAATCATGAGGGTTAAATTATTTCCATCGGAAATATTGACTTTAGCCTCAAATGAGTCCCAACGAATACAACCACTTAAGGTACAGGCTTTTCTTCCTATAGATTGTCTTCCAGATGTAACCTCCCCTCACACAACCCCCCCCCCCCCCCACACGCGACCACACCACACACACCAAACACAAGAAGAAAAGAAAAAGAAAAATGAGAAAAAAGAAGAAAAAAGCCCTAACATATTTCAAGTTTTTCAAAAACCCATCCTAATGGTGTTAACTGCCTAATATTCACGCATGGATGCGATGAAGAGGATTAGGGAAACTTTCGCATATGAATAATAGGCTCACGGCTATATAGCATTTTGTTTTTAGGAACTTTGAATAGTTAAAAGAGGTTTTTCTTATGGACCCGAAATTAGTGCAGTTTTGTGTGACATTACAGTTTAACGGGATGTTATATGTAGAAATGCCCATTATTTTAAACTATTGTTTATGTCTACTTCTTTTTACTAAAGGGACATAAAAGACTAAGGGTAACAGTAAATTTTATATTTTTTTGATTTCCCTCATTCTCCACAACGTTCCATTCATTGTAATTATTCACCACCAACGTCAAAATTCCACGTATGTTCATAACCAATCCCACGTCAAAGCTTGGATTAAAGTTAATGAAAACCAGTGTTCTTCTCTCCTCTTCTTCTCTCTCACATTCCCCTTTTGTCTTCTCTTTTTTTCGGCTAGGAGCGGCTCATGAAAGCACTTTCCCCTTTCTTTTCTCTGGCTGGTTCCTTTCTTCCCCTTCCTTCTTGCCTCCGCTCGGTCTCCCGCTCCATTCTCTCCGGCCCCTCCTCCGGCCAATCCCCCGTCTGCCTCTTCAAATGACCGTGCGATTATTTCGTCGAGCCCCACCAAGTCTTTTAAACTCCTCCTCTACCGTGAGACATAAAACATGACACAATGCATGTGTAAGAACGAAGGCAAAACCAATCAAAGAAACAATGATTTCAGATGCCCCCGGCTGTGTCAGTGTCAGCGGCGGCCATGAGGCTGGGCTGGGATGAGGGCCTTTCCTCGCTAGCTCATCGTCGAGTACGCCGATCAGGATATCACGGCACATAAACGACCAATACCATTCCAATCTCATTGTCACCAGATTCCACAATCATCTTTTTTTTTCCTTACTTTTTCTTTTCATATTTTGTTCGGTTTTTAATTGAATATGGTGTTCTGCGGTTTGTAGAAAATGGAGTAATATTATGCAAATATTTTGCTTGAGATTTTCAGCATCTTATGAGATCCCAGAACAGTTAGGGAAAATATAAATAACACATCGACTGGAGCACAAAATGTGGTGATGTGCTCTGAGGAAATCCAAACCACCAACGAACGCGAGGAAAGACCAAACAAACCAACACCAAGTTTTAGTGGGTCAGAGCAATTGCCTACGTCCACGGCCGGCAGAGGGGTGGTTTTCATAATAGCAGAGGAGTACAAATTGAGATTAAAATCGTCTCAAACGAACCAATTAACTCTACACAACAACCTCTCCTCATATTCCCAATACCCCTAACAATAGCTCAGAAGATCTTTTATTCTGTGCTCCATAACCCAAATTCCTCACTAAACCCTCAAATCGTAATTGTTATATTATATACCGAACAGAACCCCAACAGAATGCAATAGGAACCTGAACTTCTCCAACCCGTCTAAGTCGATCTTAATCAGTCTGATAAGATACGACTTGCCAGGAGCGAAGAACAGACACTGGAGAAGGTATAGGCATTAGTCGACTTATCGAACGTGATAAGTTCGATTGCAGCAGCCCAAAACAAATCCAGAGCAGACGAGTAAGTGACTATTGCACACACATATGTCGAGCTCCATAGTGACTTTATGCCATGCGTGCATGAACGAGCTTATGTTACCAAAATCTGCGTTTTTCGAATTCTTCTCCAATTCTCCACTCTCGGCGAAGTTTTCCAAAACTGAGTCGACACCAACAAACAGCGCTCACTGCTGAGACCCATATGAGAGTGGCGAACACCTCACCCCAATGTCGATGTCGCTACCAACTCGGATGCATCATAAAGAATTCTGCAGTACGTTTCCTGTTTTGCCCAAGGAATCAGTCACGTGTTCACCCAAACGCTCCAAAGCCTCAATCAAATAGAAAATATGCAGTAAACTCTTCTCAAATACCAACGATCGTGCAACTGATTAGTAGCCAATGACCCCAAATTGAGACAATCAACACTTACCTAGGTAAACCAGTGGGCCATATCCAACTATATCTACCAGCATCATGCAACTGATCAAAACCAATCTTTCATTGATCAAACAATGATCTCCAACTCACCTTGTGTCCCTTCGCTGAAATCCCAAATGACCATATGTCTGGAGTTATGTGGGTAATTCACCAACGTGCGAAGAAAGAACCGCTAGTAGCATCACTCTAACGTGCTGCCGAATCAAATGACGTGGATCAACCTCTCATTTGAACTGAGTATGTCAAAGTGACATACCTGTCGAACAATCGAGTCCCAACGGATAATCAATTGAGCCTGTCACCCCAACGTGCATCGGATCGACATCTCAATCGACGATGTGACCAAATGCTGGTTATCAAATATTCCGCTGGACCCATTCTTTGAGCAGCGCCGAGATCTATAATCCTAAAGCAGCATTCCGGCGGACTAGTGCATAGTGAGCCCAATATGTCGAGCCGACGGCCATGTAAGATGCGTCGACATCAACGCGATCCTCCTCCAGAAAGGAACGACCATCGAACTGTCATCTAATCTCGTCGCCCGCAAAGTCTGACATCCAATGAAGTGTTCCTATTGCGTCGAGCTCCGCTCTCGGGCCAGCAAGAAGGACCTCCAAAGATGAACAATGAGTTACTTTTCTGCTTACAGTTCTTCCAATGTGTTTACTTCTATTTTACTACCACGGGGAACTGGGTTCGCGAAATAATGCTTGAACAATATACAACTTGGGAAACAAGATACGAATTACCTTCCAATGATGCTCTTGTGTGGCCCAATGCTGACTTGAGCACGGTGTGTGTGTCCATGGATAGAAGCTGCCAAATCCCCACGCGTCCGCTATCCTAATGGGTCAGCAGGACTTCATCTGCCGGTTCTAGCACTCTCAAAACAACATGCAGTTTACCAATCATGTACCAAGCACAACACAATGCCACGTCTGAGCGAATTGATGTGAGTCGTTTCCAATAATCCTCGTGCTTCGGTGCATTATAAAATTTCTTTTCTGACGCCTTTAATACCAATCATGACCCAAATGTTAACCGTTCAAAGCGTGCTATCGCAAGGCCACCCTATAGCCAGGCTCCAACTCATGTGATATGTTCTTCTTAATGAGGAACGAAATCATCCAACAACTCCAAATCACCCGTACTCATTCCTGATGCCGAACGGTACCAATACACCATAGAGCATTGGTGATCATTC